CTTTTCTATTCTACCTGCTGTTACTTATTACGCTCGGTCAGTTTTTCTTATTCATGGTGAGCACCGCTATTTTTAAAATTTTAGCTCATTGAATTAAGAGATCATCTAATTATCTATTAAATATTAAATTAAAATTAACTATCTATTAGAATGCTGCATTTGAATTTTTCACAGTAGTCTTAGTCTGTATACCGTTATTTCAAGTCTTACGGTTATAAAATGATATCAGTTATTCATCACAGACAGAAGCAGGTTTGAATGTGACAGTAATCAACAGAAGACTAAACACGTTTCAGACGTTTACAGTTCTGCCCAACACTCAATTTCCTGGTCTTTTTCCATCTCCTCCAGATTTTGTTTCCATTTTTCTTGTAATCTTCTGCCGTGACAGTTGCAAATTCAGGAACGATGACGGATGCGATGATGAACATTCATAGCGAAGTACTTAATCATCTATTATGATACCAATACAGAAGTCACCATTACGCTGAAAATATCGCCATCTTCGTAACAAAGCCAAAGATTTAGATGCCACTACTGTCTAAGAAATAAAAATCCTTTTCCTTACTGAATGTGACTAACATGAAAATTTAACAGGAAGGGGTGCAGATGATGTCCACTACTCTGTTATCTTATAACCAACATCATAAAAGCTTGTGAAAGAAATGTCTGAGGAAGAATCAGCAAGGCTTAACTACTAACAATATGAAGTCAAAAAGTCTGTTTAAAACAGCTGTCTGAATGAGTGCAAAATTCTTGCACATGAAATAACTAAATGACCACTACTGATGCCTGTCGCTGCAACATCAAACCTTACCAAGAAGATAACTAACACAATATATACGCTGAAGCAGAATAATCGGTTATATAAACTAGTCGACGAGATGAATATGGCGGCAAATGAGACGCTGTTCAGGTCATTTACGAAACAGAGATTAGTATGAACTTTCTCCCGGAAAAATCAGGACGCTAAAACTTTTCGAATTCTAGTGTGCAGTAGGAATTAGTCAAGAATGGACAAGCGGCACCATCTCTATACTGCAAAAACTTAAAGTACGCAGCGTTTAAAAATTCAGGACTGGAATCTATGAAAGGAAAATTGACACGACAGACTTGAGTTGAATGTTAACAAATCGTGCATAGCCATAGGGAATGACTCGGGAAATTATGGGTACTATATTGCCAATAACACCGTTTTAAGCTGTGAGAAGAAACCAAGATTAGGCAAACATGCGTAATATATGATGCCGTTAGAAATAAAAGCATGATTAATCCAATTGCTAATTTCACCCGTTCCATTTAAAATCTTTAAAGCCATTCTCTATTAGATGCCATATTTGTCAGGTAAAATGGCCTACGTATCTCGACGCCCCCAAAGATATTGCTGGAGTATATTGCGCTTGAAAAGGACTAACATGCCAGACAGGTTAAAGGGCAAAGATCAAACCTAGAAAAATCAACTCCTATATTAACGCGGTTTAAGAATGAATACATTCGAATCTCAGGCAGAGAGGTTTCAGCGAAAATCATAGTAGCATCTTTCCCGTTGTGCCTGCCGTGTAATTTTATAAACTATTGGTTTCGTTCATAGACAACTGGCTCGTTTAAACGGTAACGCAGGCCCCTGCAAAGTGCAAAATGGACTTAGCCGTCATTTTAAAATTTGAAAACTTACGTTTGCTGAAAAACATGTGAAAACGATTAAATGATCATGTTGCTTGAGTGAATGTCAACAATTAACAGAAGTACTGAATTTACATCATAGGTTATTTTTAAGCCAGAGGAAGTCAGATAACGCATGACTCCTACAGGATCACATTTTAGACCTTGGAGCAATTGCCTGATAAATGACCCATAAAGGGAACTAGGAACAAGAAGATGCAATACGCCGTAAAGTTTGGTCTTGGTGGAATTATGCATTATTTGAATTACTGAACTGTATAATTATTTCTGGACAGAGGTCCTACGAGCAACTTTCAAATTCACTTTCTTTCGTTTCATTAAGAACGTATTTGATTACCTCTTCTATGTCTTTTAGAACGGTCACATTTTCGCTTGACAACTTGCCACTGTGGAAGAGGTTGCTCAACGTTTTGCCAATCTCTAAGAAAATTTTTGCGTTACGCAGAACAGGAAACATACACGGTGCCCCTCGCACTTGCAAAAGTAGAGTCCTCATCAACGGGTGCCGGGGGAGTTAACTTTTCGAAAATGGCTTCGGCCTAAAACTGGAGTTTAGAAACGGAGTGAGACACAAGACGACGCGTCACAACTTACACTGGTCACCTGAAGAACGCCGCTGCCGTCTACTACGTAATGCAGACGCACGCCCTTGTACTTCGTCGATTCTGCGTCAACGACGTTAGCGTCGTATGCTGCCCGGATTCCAGTTATGCTGACCGTACTCAGGTTCATGGAACCGAATTCGCTAAAAGTTTAAGGCTATCATGCAAGTCTACTAAAGTAAACAATGCGCAAAAATACTGGCATTAAAGAGTCGCCCAACTGGACAAAATGAAAACATAATTCATTAATAATCTATCTTCCTCCTATATTCCGTATATGCCGTGAAATCTAATTTTTGACGAGTTAAGCACTTGCAAACTAGCATAAGAGCAGGCATTTTTCTTATTTTGAGAATGCACGTAAAAATAACATCTTCTGAAACATCACTGATGAAAGGAAAAGTAGTTTTCTAGCAAATAAAATGGTTCGGCGTGCTGTAGCACTATAGATGCTCAAATGTTATATAGTCAGGGGCGACTTAAATGTGTTTTTATAACCCCAGGACCAACAAGGCAGTTCCTTTGAATCAAACTGCGAAGCATCTAAACTGCGACACCTTGAGACAACAGAAAAAATTTCTTTCTTAGGAAAACTGCACATGTATTGCATATGTATACATGTAGGTATCGACTGGGCTTGTATGTGAGAATGTGTGTGTATGTGTGTATGTATACATGAATCTATCGATTGCGCCTGTATGCATGTATGTATCTACGCATGTGTATATGTTCACATCGATTAGGCATTACATATCTCTTACATACCGAGCGGCCTTTACTTCCCTGAAATATTAGCTATAATGAGTACGTGAATAAGGCAAATGCATATATGCCTGCTGATAGTCAAACGCATTGAACCATGATACGCTTAAATGGTCCCCTAACATCTAACAAGACGATCAATTACACCATAAAAAATGTTTGGAAGAGTTATGTACCTATTATTATAGGCATGCGTACGAGCTCGTGCATAATATACCCAGAAGTATTATTATATTTGATAGGTAATGAATTGCTATATCTTAACAACAACATGAAAAATACCGATCAACTCTGAACAGCGAAACAATGCTGTCTGTTCTTCAAAATAATGAAGTACAAAAAGGACATCCAAACTTACCCGAATAACTAACAGAAAGGTGCAGGACAGCTATCATTTTAGACACAACATTAACTGTCGAAAAAATTTCTGGCATTGCTAATATGTAGTGACCTGCAGCGGGTCGGTTGGTTATATCCTCGGTTCTCAACTGTTGCCAGGTTATATTTAATCTATATTTATATTCACTGGAAAATAAATTAAATAATATATTGACAGAATGTAACTAACTAACATATCAAAAGAGCAGTACCTTTTGGCTACAGTATAGACAAACGTATTCAACAAACATGCACGTACGAGATTTGTTTGTCTGAAAGATGTTGCAGAGAGCCATAGTTTAAGTTAATATCGAAGTCGTTGGTGTGTCGACTGAAAGTCATCATTTTCTTTTGAGGAAACGAGTTTCCGTAATCATATAAAACTCTGTGCAAAATCCGCTGGGAGTCTTCAGGCTCGTTTTCAGATTTTTCTTTCAAAAAGGAAGCCTTAAATATGAGGTTATTTTAAAATTTTTTTATGCTGAGCAATTCAACATACTTCAATGGGGAACAGATTGAATTCTCGGGTCACGAAAGGCATCGTCTGAAATCATAAGCAATTTTCACAACGAAGAAATGAACGAGCGAATGTTATGAAAATCAATGGCAAAACTAAACTATGAAAATATACTCTGACAAGTTTATGCAACTGAAACGATGACACTTCTGCCAACAATATGAAATGTAAAAGTGCTAAGTAACGTCCAACTGTGATCAAAAGCAGTTTGATCAATACTCTGCAATTCTGTTGACGGCACTCCAATAGACATCGTTACCGGCACAAAATGCGATCGTAAAAACACTACTTGCAGTACTCCAAATTTCGATGACGATCAGTGACGTTATCAGTAATGGGAGAGGAAATCAGCAGAACTCAGAAAAACTGCACTAAAATATTGTATCAGTCCCCTAGATACTATAATTGTATTATGTAGTAAAAGTACAAAATTACTATCCAGAGTAATCGTAATGCCCGCATCCTAAACATATCTGCACAGTAATACGATTGGTACTAATATGGTTATGTTAATTTAAAGGTACAGCTGGTGCCACTTTGTAGTCAGCAATCAGGTGGGTCAGGGCGAACTGCAGTGGGAAGACGCAAACAGCCACAACCAACCACTACTATGTGCCTATTGTGCGCAATTGAGGGACTTGCTACCTATTTCTCGATTAGAAACACCAAAGGTCCGTGCTGTTTAGGAGTCATGGAAACGGTGACAGCCCATTATTTATTTATGACTAAGTGGCTAATACGTTCATCGAAAAACAGTTCAATGCGTAAAAATGTTTCAAGGCCGTTTTTTAAATAATTTTTCAAGAATGGAGAAATGAATCAAAGATGTGGAATCAGAATGGGCTTAATGTTTCTTAATCTATGACATGTCACCTACTATACCTTGTTTCAATTTCTGTTTTAAATTTAAGCGATTCGTACGCCTAAATGTCAAATAACGAATGACCTACACAAGGCCAGATTTCGATACGAGCAGGTGGTGATGTTTATCTACTAGTATATAAGTAGCAACAGCTTTGTAAACGTCGTTCGTGATAAACACGAATAAACATAATACGATATGCATCTGGCACTGCAGGTGTTCAAATAGAATTGAGATGTAACATGTTTAAACGGCCCGAGGAGGCAAGTAGGAACGAAAAGAGCGGAGCAGTACGCCGTGAAATCTGATTTTGGAGGAGTCATTCACTACTCCTCTTATGTCAAGACTTCATTTGTGTAATGGTTGATGTGTACCAAGATGATGTCGCTAGAATGCGGCAATGAAACCGATGGTAAATAAAGAAATTTCATCGCCATTTTCAATTGCTGCTTTGAATGATGGATCAGCAAGCGACGACAAACAGGATGTACAACATGAGCTAGTTTTTAAAACTGTTATGAAAATAAAATTTAGAATTATAAAAGGATGGATTAAACGATTTATGGTTTAAATCTGAGCCAATGAAACGAGTTTACCGACAGTATGAAGGACATCCTCGTTTTATAGTACATCATAAAGGGAGAGTGGGTAAAACTAAAATCAATTATCAAAAGAAGTTCATCTGTACTAACAGTCATCACGCAACGGAAATTAGTACCGCTGAAGAAAAATAAAAACATCAATTGCATCATACCGCTTTACCTCTGATCTACAGAAGGTCATACTAAGCTAAGTAAATTAAGCTTGTGGGAAGAGTACTAAAAGCTTAAATGCAATAAAGCTTCGCTAGTCGTCGGGTTTCCAGCATTAAAAATTTAAGCATATTCCGGCTTCCTGGCATTATTATTAACGTGCGATTCAATAATTTTTGAAAAGATTTTAAACGCATCCCAGTGATCTGCATAACGAATTTAATTTCACCAAACTCGTATTTACTCTAAAGCCCTTGCTTTGATGAGCAGCTTCGAAAACGGCGCCCATGGCAATGGCTTCATCCGTATTTAGGAACTTGTTCAATTCCTTCCTAAAAGTTAAAATAACATTTAACTAAAAGAATCAAAAAGATGGTATTATCTGATTTATGTTGGTAAACAAAGGATAAAACTAGCGAAACACAATTAACTTTTCTTCGAGAGGGGAGGATTGATTTTAAGCCTCAACTTGCAGTCAATCACAAATAAAGTATGGTGGGATCTTTCCATCATGCCATTTTCCAGTTAACGGACTGCCAAAGATACTGCACATGATGATGAGAGAGGAGTCCGGCAATACGTCTGCGGCAAAGCTATATTCTTGTCACTAGTTTACAGGAAGAGAATCGCAATAGGCTAGGGAGCCCTACTATGATGATACCGGCCGTTGCACCCTCATACTAGGAAGAGGAACTTCACTGCATAAAAAGGACAACAAATAACATCCATCGCATTATCTATATTGTCAAAGCCGCTGAAGTACAGCACAAAGTTCAAAGACAGGCAACAGTATAGCTAAAGTAGGAAACAATTTCTGTAATGGAACATAGTTGGAGAGGAGCGAAACAATGTTCTCAGCAATAAATAATGCAATGTCATAGCTGCACTACAGGTAATAAAATGCAATAAATTTAGTTAATTTTAAGTTTATAAAGAAAACTCGAAATGCGCATTAAAAATGACAACACAAACATTAACTACAAAAATGTGACATTTAATCCAAGTCAATGTAGAACTATTTGGAAAATCGAACACAAAGTCGAGAATGAGCTATTAAAATGTTTGCTTTATCATTCTTTCTAGCCATAACCTTAAATGTAACATAAAATAGTAACTAAATATCAGTCAAAAAACAATAAAATATTCGTAATTTTGCCTTGCTTGAATTTCTGAGCATTGTCTAGCGTTATGATGTCTCCAAACTATTCTAATATATTCACCGTCTTGGTGGTAAAAAATTTTTGTTTCAATCGTTTCAAATTATTTACTGGCCATCCCAGAGCTCGGCGCAACGCTGGGAAAACCAGTCCGACGGAGATATGGTTATCATAAAATTCTCTGATCTACTCAAAAGGCAGTAAAGCAGGAGGGGCATACGTTCATGGTTCATACACGTGACAGCTGGAGGGCAAAGTCCGGAAGTATCAAGTGATTGCCGTGTGTTAAATAGGTGATTGACATGTTACCTCTTCTGAGATATCCAGCTGTGTAATTAAATCGGCATGATAAAATTGACTAGTTTCAGCAGTCAGTATGTCACAGTGAAATCTGACCGGCAGGTATTCGACTAGCATGATGCATGCAGCAGCAACATGGATCCTTTTCAAGAAGGAACCACATGTGCTGCAGGTGTTTGAATGCTGTAGTAGACGAACAAATACCTGGTTGCAAAATAACTGAGAAGACGATAAATGCAGAACTGCTCACAAAAAATAGGAACAGTACAAGTGCAATAGATCAAACAGGCATTAACATAAACTTTCGATTGGTCTAAATGAACTACATTACTGATATTCTGGCCATGTATTAGGACTAAACGACAAACTTCTGATCAACATCGTGAATCGTAGTATGCTGAATATGTGCTGGAAAATACCGAGAGGTCAAAAAATTGCTGGTTTGATAAATCAGGGAAAGTGACTGCAAAGTACAGCTGAATTGGACTTAACAAGAAATTGCAAACCAAGCGTGACACAAGGATTTGCTTACAATCATTTTATATCGTCGAACATCACACAGGTCATGCAACAATAGCATTTGGTGAGAAGAAGCTCACGGATGGGACATCACAACACTATGCGACATTAACAAATCAACTCAGTCATTTCTAGCCCAAAAAGCACTTACGAAATTGATGATGGAAAGCCAGCTTAAGACGAAAGCGGCGGAAGCAGTTATTTCAATACTTTAGGTGTCTTACTAATAAAGTAGAGTTTAAGTTTACCAACTTCATAACGACTGGAATACCAACTGGCAACCAACTCGCTATTACTTAATAATAGCAGTAAAAAGACTTTCATTCGAAATATACAACATCATACCCTGGAATTAGCGCTTGTAGTCGTTGCTGAACTGCCGGCATTCTCGTGCCAGCACCCATTAAGATGAAGAAGTCAAGGTCATTCTAAATATTCATAAAAATAACGACGGCATGAAGAAAGACCATTTACCACAATGACATACCGCAGTGATTCCGGCCATTTTCAGTGCATCAGCTACCGGCTCGGTTACTTTGTTAAGCAGTTCCTCACACAATGGTTCGAACTCCTCTCGCGGAATGGTCACACGGAAGTCTTTACCTTCATGCAAGGTTTCGACCTGTAAATAGCAGACAGTGGAAGCAAAGGTGGACAGCTGACTCGAGGATCTATGCCTCCACTAAAACCATTTTGGATAAAACCAAAATGCATGGTCATAAATTTCAAAATTTTCTTGGTACAAAGTGAAGATGTTAGCCATCTGTCTGAAAGTTGATAGTGAACGGGCATTCAAACAAACTGAAGGAATCGAATGATTCATACTGACTGAAGCGCAACATATAAGTGCAACGAAAGAAATGTTAGTGTAATGTTAACATTATAGTAGGCCATAAACATCCCTATACTGCTCCCAACGTTGATTTGACTGTCATTCAAGTGACTCATAATCAACTAAACCTTTCACTAGAGATCTCATTCTATTTACTTATATGCAGTTCAGCTGTGCTAATGAACCTCTTGTTAGTAAACTAACTAATTTTCATGAAAGGCAGGGCAGAATTCACCCTTATCAACGTGTATATTAAAATATATATCATTTGTCATATCTAGTGTTCAATGTCATACATTCTCGATACATGCCAAGGACGAAGCAGGCTTGGGAGTCTTGAGAATCCAATTTCACCTTGGAAGTATAAGACATAGCAGGGCAGATATCTTTCACAAAAGGGAACGAGAAATAAATCTACACTGTGAATGTGACACATGTAAAACCAACAGTCGCACTGATGCCAGTAGCGATAGTACAGAGGCAATCAACCTAATCACACTGAAGGCAAAATAGTGACTATCAATCTGCAGTCAGAAACACACGAACATTCGACTGCTGCAACATTGTGTAGAAAAAGAAGCAATAATGAGCAACTGCAAAACGAAATTTCTTCATCGCTGTTAATTTGCAATCCAGGATGTCAAACGGAATTACGCCATGGTATCATCGAGCATTTTCATCATACCACGTGTGCTAACGAAGAATAATGCAGGCAAGGAACACTGCCAACTACCTATCGCGAGTTTAACAAGCTCCGCTGCTCATAACAACGCCAGATATGCCGGTTCTAGTCACCATCATGGAAAAGAATGAAATGTAAAATAACGCCTGCGGCCAAACCAGCATCTTTTACCTGAGCGAGTACTTCTGGATTAAATGAGAAGTGCTTCTTGACCCTTTCGCCTTCGACCAGCAACTTAGACATCGCCCGCGGGTTGGAATATATCGGGGTCTTTGGATGATGCGCTTCCGTGAACCTCTTGGCCAGATAGTCGCGCAAAAGAACCGTGAAGTCAAGACCACCAGTACGTTGGTAACTATAATTCAAAGCGATCACAACAAGTAACATGAACCAATGCTAACTTACCCAACCCCCATAACAGACATTTTTGGAACCTTTTCCTTTTTCGCCTTGTCTTCCTCAAGGATGTAGTCTAAATAATGAACAGGCAAGGGTAAACACAAATCTTAACTGCCCATTTAGCACTTCTGCAGAGTCAAAAAATCACCTGAAACACGTAGGTGTAAACGGCAGAGACAGAGCTAAGGTAAAGGCCAATGTGCGAAACCTGTTGTTTCGCAGACGACTCAGTCACTCCAGTCATGTGCTCCTTAAAAATTTTATATGCTCCCTAACTGAATCGGGTTTTCTCAGTAAACACAAGCCTTCTCCAAAGTTTGATTACATTGCACACGGAACTTCCACCTGCACTAATGTCCACTGAGCCATTAAATCAGGCTCAGCGTATCTGAGTATCTGCAGTGCTACAAACATTCACGCGCTTCATAATTTTGTTGATTAAAACAGTATTCTGTTTTGTAAAATACGATGTTACGGTGCTTCTCATAATCTATGCCGAAAACCAAAAATATCGCTTAGCATGCTCAACTTGGCGAAAAGGGCATAGCTACATTAGAACCAGGTTTCTTCATCAGTGGTCTCAGGTACGAAACAACGCAAGTTGTCAACTTAAACTGGTTAGTAATGACTATATCTAACTACTGCAGAAAGTAAGCAATTAAGAAACTAACAAGCCACCTACACGAAATAAGCGTAGTGGATGGAAGACTGCCGCTCTATTCAGAAGCACGATCACGGATCGCAATAATGGAAGGCAGACAACTCTAATTACATAAATAGTGAATCCAGTAATTACGAGATAATATTCAATAACGAACAAATTTCATATTTCCTGCATTCACCTTTCTGTCTACTTTGCAGTGATAGTTACCAAAATCTTCCTCCTTTCTCACCTGGCATTTTATCGGGCCTTCCTGCTCCAATCTAAGTTTCTTGTGACTTTTAAGCCTGTTGTGCGTTGCCGGTATATATATATATATATATATATATATATATATA